GGGGCGTTTTGTCTCATCTCTTCCTTCATTTTTGCGATGGTCTCATCCGTTTCTTTCATCTTTTGTTTGCCGTTGACGACACGAGACAGTTGTTCCTCCAGCACAGCGCGCTGCTCACTGTAAAGAGCCTTGTAGAGCTCAATAAACTCCAAGTATGAGGTTGGTGTGATGTAGTAGCGCCGTCGCAGCTCCTCCCAATATTCATGCGCCACACGAATCACCGTCGTGTGGATATCAACACAAAGAGGCGCCAATATTGGCAGCAGTTGATTCGACTCACCTCCATCAGCGTCTTCAAAGAGTCGCTGCGCCACACCAAGGAGCGCCTCCTTTGGCCACTCGTCGAACCAGTCAATGACGCAGCAGTTTGTGAGGGACGGAAACTGACGGCAGCGCGTACGGAATGTATCACCGACGGGGCTCATGCAAAGGACAATGTGCATGTTATCACGAACACGTGAGATGAAGAAGTTATACACATCATCACGATCAGAAATTCCACGTTCCTGGGCTGCCTCAAGGCAGGCGCTGACGCGTTTTTCTCGTTCATCCGGCGTAAAGAGAGACGGAACCTCCCCAGAGTTGAGAATATTGTTCACGTCTTCCAGCATCCCCTCATGCACGATTTGATTATCTGAAATGAGGAAAACACACGGCTTACATTGAACGCCAGCTGTTGTGTAAAGGTCCAAAAGAAACTCGTGGAACTCGTTCATGGAGTAGCCTTTACCAACGGCAATTTCCAACGTTTGCCGCTCAGCTATGGACGCCGCTAGACGCGTTAATGAGCGCTTCCCAGAGCCTCCAACCCCCACCAAGAGGGCATTGCCTCGTGGCTGACGCAGGATACGAATAATACGTACCAGGTGTTCACAGTGATCCTTAAAAAAAACAAGATTCAAAACGGATTTCGCACCACCACTGCCGTCATCATCTTCACGACCCGTTCCTCCACTCATGTATGCGTTATAGTCATCCTGGTAGTCACTCAAAATTCCAGGAAGCTTCTTAAATTCTGTCAGTTCCTCATACACCCGATCTACGGCACCTATGCGAAGAAAGTCTGCCCATACAAGCGGATCTCCTTCAAAGTAATCCGCATGTGAGTGCTGTCCTGAAACAAAACGTGTCAGTGCGTCCATCATTAGATCCTCAGTAAAATAGGTACGGTCTTCCTGCGTCGCCAGACGATCATAGAAGCAGCGTAACAGCTCATGAATCCACAGTCGGGTAACAGAGCGCTTCAATTTACATACACGCGGGGTCACCTGTGTAATGCCCTGGAATACCTTCGCCAGATCTCTCAGATTAAATGTATAATGAGGTGTTGTGGGCTTCGGTCGCATTGTATCACGGGTCTTGTTAAATATTTCGACACTGGCGTTCACAAGAGACTTGGCCATATCCCGTACTTCCCCACTAAAGTTCTTTGCTTGGAAGAAGCCCTGCAAAATAGAGTGAAAAATGCGTTTCATCGACTCATCACTAAGCGTCGGAATGTGAAGTAAATGAAAAAGTCGTGTGAGTCGTGCCGTCACCGGATTTCGCCCGCCCTCCGGTGGACCACACGCAGCCACAACCGTCACATCCTGCACGTGTTTCCAGAATCCTGCAACCTTGCGGTCGTAGAACCCCCCGTTGCCCATCATTTGCCGCAGCAGTTCAATTGGCGGTGAGGCACCAAAAGTCTCCAGAGCTGGCATGTTGAGATCATCAATGAAGAGCACCACCTT